GGAATTCATCTTAATCCCGTTCATTGGAAAGATCCTTATGAATTTAATCCTGATAGATTTATAGGAACTGAACCACATAAGAATACATTTTTGATGTTTGGAGGTGGAGTATGGTTATGTCCAGGAAGAAAATTAGCTATTACGGAAATGAAATGTCTAATCGCTTTAATATATAGAAATTTAGATATCACATTAGTAGACATGAATGCTCCTTTGAAATTAAAGCATCCTTCGTAAACGCGTGTACTGAATTACAGATCAGAGTTAATCAAAGATCCAAATCGTAATTGTAAAATTGTATTTATTAAAATTTTTTTTTAATATTCGTAAAAAAATATTTAAATGAATAAATAAACGTAATTTTTTTTTTTATGCCGTAATGATGAACAATATGCGATAGCTAGTAACAGATAAAAGCTTTAGTCGTGTTCTCAATTAACTTCTAACACGCAATTCGATACTTGATTTTAAGATGCCATAGCGGAGACGATTTTTAAATATTGAAATATTTATTGAAAGCTCTTTTTTTATCTGTAAAGTCCAAAAAAACAAAAATAAATGTATGATTTTTTTAAAGAGCAACGTCATGTCATATGTAACATATGAAAGCGTTGCTAGTAAAATCGCCTAATTAATGAATCTGTTATTTTCCTTTTATGTATAAATTCCAGCGGAATTAAATTCATTCGCATGTATAGTAATAAAATTTCTTATGAATTTAATTTAATTTAATACCTTTTGTATATACATATGGGGGTGTTCACATGACCATGATCAGCAGAGTGAACCAATAAAAAAATTTTTGACTAAAAAGTGGATTTCCCCTTTTCTACTGACCGCCCCCCATATGTCCACCTTAGCATTGGGAGCGTTAGATTACATAGGAATAATTGTATCAATCCTTTTAGTATATATCACACAAATTTATTACATGAGCAAATCCACAATTCCCTTTCTATTAGTTGGAGATGTGTTTAGAATTGCATTACAAGCAAGTGATGAAGCAGAATGGTTCAAAATGTAAATCAGCGATATTTTTGAAACGTTATGTTGGAAGTACTCGTAAAAATCGTATTTGTCAAGGCGGATATGTTGAAAAAATGTTGGCTTCTTTTATCAACAGTAAATATCGTGAAAACAAAAGATATCGCTTCGATTGATTAATTAGAAAGGGCTTTATCGAATAATAATAATATTTCTAGTTGGAGGATCAATAGAAAATTCTTAACACAAGACATTTTTCACCAAGCTTCTCTAAAGAAGTTTTTTATTGGACTCAATTCTGTTTAATGGATAAATGGGTATTGGAAAAAGATTAGAGAAAATGTTCTAATCGATTTTTCCACATGGACTCATAGGTTTACCACAAAAATTATCTTTCAAATGACTGTTGGGTTAAAAGTGAATTCCATGGTCAAATTATTTTAATCATGTTGAACCATCAAAGAGAAAACGTATCGAGCAAATCCTGTAGTTGAGAACATTGCGAATTTCGTAGAAGTTGAGAATGGATTTGATGATATAAAATTTGTTTTTACTTATCTCGCTTTTATTAGACACACTTTATTGAGAAAAAGAATCAGGCCATGCTTAATAATAGGCGTAATTATACTAAAATTATGTTGAAAATTACTAATTGTCGAAGAAACGAAATTAAGCAACACCTATTGAGACATGATATGATTACCGTAATTACCGTTACCGAATGTGACTCCAAATATACGTTTAAACCTTTAAATAATGATGAAATCGTCCACATCTTAGCTAAGCCATATTCTGCTGGAATTGACACAACAGCGAATTTATCATGTTTTATGATATATTATTTATGTCATTATCCTGATATTTTAGCTCGTTTGTTAAAGGAACTCGATTCAATCTTTTGTTTGGATCAATTTATACCTACAATGGAAAAATGCACTACATAGAAACTATATTTAAGGAATGTTCATGTCTCGTAAATACAGTCAAACAACTTAATGGGTTTCTTCTTCGTCGGATGTAGTCTCAGGTTATGAATGGTCTGCAAACACGCATATGTTACATATCTGTAAGGAATTCATCTTAATCCCGTTCATTGGAAAGATCCTTATGAATTCAATCCTGATAGATTTATAGGATCTGAACTACAAACAAATATATTATTGATGTTTAGAGGCATAAGTCCAGGGAGAAAATTTGCTCTTGTGGTAATGAAGTGTTTGACCATTTTAATCTACAGAAATCTAGATATTACATTAAGAATGCTCCTTTGAAATTAAAACATTCTATTGTAAACACGTGTACTGAGTTATTCTTTTTTAAGAAAAAGGTTATAATCATGAAAAATTAAATGAAAAAAAACGTAAAGTAAATTATAATGAATTTTGGTATCCTTTTTTTTTTTTTATTTTTTTAAAAATAAAAAAATTAAAAGTAGGACGTTAATTAATTTAACTTTAACAAGATATTATGACATTGATGCAGTCAAATTTTTATTAATAGAAAAACTTAAATTCGAATTAATTTTCAAATATAGATTTTAAGTATTAATTAGTTAAGTATTTATCTCTGACAGGACGCTTTACATCCTTTGTAAATTAATTCAAACAACATCAGGATCGTTAGATTTACATCAATTCTTCTAATATACTGTCATATAGAACAAGACTGGGTACAATTCCCTTCCTTACTCGAAAGTTGATTACAGGCAAATGGAAATGAAGCAGGATTGTATAGTGTATTAGATAAGAAATATGAAACATTTATGTAAAAATTATATTTGGTAGTGCTGGTCCTTTTATTAGTAAATATATGGGTTGATTGCTAGGAAAATCAGGTTCCGGGAATTTTTTAGCAAAATTGAGATTTTTATTGCAATTTAGTTTTTGATGTTAGTCAAAAATTTCTCGGAATCTGATTTTCCTAGAAACACTCCCATACGATAATTACGTTGCGCTTGATTAATAAAGAATAATAAGAAGTGAATAACCACATTCCCACTTGAAAATTTTTAACACCATGTTTCTCTTAAATTGAATCCCAATTCTGTTTAAGACAGATTTAATGTATGGACGGTTTGCAGCAGAAAGGGAGGAAACTACAAAAATGAAAATTTTATTTTGTATACTAAATATGATTTTTTACACTGTATAACTTTTCACAATTTAATAATTTTTAACTATCATAGAAAACATATCGAAGTAGAAAATAATGCTTTATTGGTCACTGTAAATACTATGATTTCAATAGTTTCGCTCTAATTCTTTAAAAATGAAGGAATGTTAAGACGAATTTATTGCTGGAATTGACATGACAAAAAACTTTTTCACCATCAAAACATTTGTCACACCTTTTGAAGGAATCCATATTACCTTTTTCATTGGAAAGATCCTCGTGTTTAATAGATTTAATACAACTAACTGATCTTTTAATAAAAAAAAAAAAAAAAAAATGTATAGAAGGTGGAGTCCGTTTTATTGACCCATGTTGAAGAAAGAAGAAATATTAATTGCTTTAATATAAATCCCTTAAAATATCATAATTACAAATATTGAATGGATTTAAACGAAAAATTATAATCTTTAAAGGATCTTAAAATAATTTATATAAATAAAATTTCTTGGTTTTTTTTTTTTTTAAAAAAAAAAAAAAAAAAAAAAAAAAAATTGCCCGTAAATCTTAATTAATTTTGAAAGCAGCAGATCATAAACAAGATCAAAAAAATTTAACGCGTTTATTTGGATTCAACTTAAAATATTGTTAAGATCTTAATTCCTCGATTCTACTAATTCTATTATCCTTTTATCATTTATATCAAAGACGCTATCAAATTCCTTTTTGAAAAAAAATATCCTTATGATAATAACTATCTAATAATACCCTTATATAATTTTAACTATGCTTTTACCTTTTTTTTTTTTTTTTTTAATAAAATTTATCTCTTCCCTTACTACAGAACAAGCAGAATTTCCTTTGATCTACAAACTCTTTCCTTGAATTTCATTCACCGTATAACCTTTAAATAGTCAATAAATACGAAAAAAAAATGAATGATTCAATATACTGAAAACAAATAAATGCAACGTTTCTCCCATTTACTCCATGTATGGAAGTTTGTATTCTAAATTCTATTTACCTCACTATAATAATAAATACCACCATTTAAATTTAATATAAATATTTAATCATTTAATATAATACGAACCAAGTTCAACAACAAATCACATTACCCTACTAAGAGTAACTTTAACGTAACACCAATTCTTCGCTCATTCATTAGAAGTGACATCATTCACCATCGATTTCGTGGGTCTTCTGTGACTTGTACCATAAGAACGGCGGCGACGAGAAGGTTGTTGACCTTTAATAGTACTTGTAGTTAAATAGGATCCTTTACTAGCACAGTTGTTGGCGAAATGACCAATACCACCACAAGTAAAGCACCTTGAAGGCAGGAACCCAACAAATCGTCTATTATTTGGTTGAATATTTGAAGCCGAACCAGACACGGAGGAAATTGTACGTGAAGAACGTGCATGATGCGTACGAGTTGGAGATTTTTTTATTGACGTAGAAGCTTCTATCGTCGAGGGTCTCCCATAATTTCGATTACGACGCACACTGTTTGGAGAAGGGTACGTAGCAACGCCACGAGTCGGACGATAACTTGGTTTTTTACCTATAGTCGAATCACACCGATTTGTAGAGGTAATGGCGTCAGTATTTCTGTCACTTTCATTATTTAATACGTCATCAACAGCTGTTGAAAATAGCTCATCAGAATTAGTAGAAATCTGATGAAAACAATCTCTATTGTTCCTCCTTTGAACAGACAATCCATTTTCTTCAGATGAATCATCGTTGGTAGTACCCAAAAAAGTAAATTCTGGAAAGGTTTTTACACCTTCCGGAATGGAGTCAACAGTAGCAGGATCAGCATCATCAGCAGCCTGAGTAGAGGGCGAGGAAACACGATAAAGCAAAATTTTTTCCAAAATTATGTTACGAGCTTGAACAAGACATTTTTTAGCTTCCTCGGGTAGTTGCAGCGGGATAATAACGTCAAGGAGCTTGCTAGCCGTAATAACTGCATCATATCGACATTGATCCTGGGAATTCTCAAATTCGGTATATTGCCGGTCATCGGCAACATTGAGATTAGGTTCCACACAATAATGAAGTTTGGCAAATTGTGTGTGGAATTCTGATTTCAAATCAGCGATACTTCTTACAATAGGATTAACAATTCTCGCTACATCGATATCATCTTGAGAAGAACCGTTCCCAAGGGACATTGGGGAGACTTCCAAGGGAGCATTGACTTGAAAGGGAGAATTGGAAATTTTAGTTGGCGTTATTTGTTCATAAGGGGGATATGCGTTAGATGACGACGTAAATCTTCGTGAAGAAGTAAGGTGAAAGTTGGTGTCTTCCGAAATTGTCTCATCTTCATTACTAAAAGATTCAGAATCAGTCCTTTCATCATCACATGGATAATATTTCCGATGTTTAGGAAGACTAATATCAGATCCGTCAACAGAAGAAACGTCCTTGTCGTTGTTGTTAGTAATTATTGATTGTACTCCATCTTCAGAATAGCAATCATCCCACCCTTTTTCTTTGAATGTATTACTATCACCGACCTCCAAAGTAAGGTTATGATCTTTCACATGAGTAATTTCTACTTCTTCACATCCTCGTACATCATTTTCAACATCATGTTCGTAACTACCATTATTTGAAATGTGAAGCTTTTCAAGCTGTTGCAAAATAACACTAGGTTCTTCAAGTTGAAGGGACATATTTATTAAAATTTTGTGAGAGGTCAAGTATGAATGGAAAATTTTATAATACGTTTATAAAATGAATAAATATTGTTAGGTTCATAAAGCGACAACAAAGAACAGGAGAAGAAAATTTCAAACCATAAAAATTTGCCGATTATGAATTTATATGAATATCATGTGATACTAATGTTATCCTCGTCACGATTTTGTTTCAATTGTTTCAATGAGGCTTAGCGTCATAAATAAACTCTTCAAAAAGGTCACCGCAGTAAACTTAAATTTTCAAACACCACGCACGATTGAGGAAGTAAATCAAATTTTAAATCTTATTATATCATCAAGATTTTATCTCTTGATTTAAATGCTTGCCCATTTTGAAATGATGTGTATACATATAAAAAAAAAAAATAAAATAAATAAAATGAAAAAAAATTCCATTGAATAAAATTTTGATGCTTGTATAGGTACAATTGAAATTGGTCTTTTTATTTTTTTTTCGTTTTTGGTCGACTAATAATATGTCATAATTAGTTAAAACTTATTTAACCGAATTTCAAATTGCCAAATAACTAAGCCATCTAAGCAAATTCAATAAACATCACCAATTTTTTGTGTAAGGTCATTTGTAATATTAAAGATGCATACAATAACGTGTGTTACAAACCTCGGACTGACTCGGCAATTAAAAAATCACAAACCCAAATATAACATATTGGTGTTTCTTTGTTTTGTTTTCTCTCTATGCGGTTAAAAAAAAAAAATTTTTCTCCGCAATAAAGAACTCGGATAAACTTTTATTTAATTTAACGTGTATAAAAACGAAGGCGATTCATTCATTCATTTTTTTTTTTTTTTTAACCAGATACTAAAATAAATTCACCTTCATAATAACCATAATTTTCTATAATTTTCCGTTAAAATATTCATTTAATTATTATTTTTTTTTAAAAAAAAAAAAAATTGAATTTTCGTTGAACAATGTCAATCTTATCATTAGTAGCGTTGGATTTCGCGGGATTGACCACGACAATTATTTTGATTATTCTGATATATTTAGGGCACTTTTATTACAAATATTTTACAAGACCAAATCCACTACCAGGTCAAATTCCCCTTCCTCTGTTCGGAGATGTATTGAGCATCATATTTCAAGCAAATGGAGATGAAGTGGAATGGTTCCAATTTTTAAATAAGAAATATGGTGATATTTTTGAAACGTATATTGGAAATGAACGTAAAGTGGTATTTGCCAAAGCGGAATATGTTGAAAAGATGATGTCACCTTCCACAAACAGCAATTATATAATTCGAACGGAAGATTACCCTTCATTTGAAGAATTAGGAATTATAGGAAAAGGGATTTTATTGAATAATGATATTCGTACTTGGAGATTTAATAGAAAATTCTTAACACAGGCAATTTTGGCTCCAAGCTTCTCGAATGAAGTTTTACATTGGACTCCAATTCTTTTTAATGAATTAAATGGGTACTGGAAAGAGATTGGGGAGAAAGCTCCAATCGATTTCGCCGTATGGATTCATAGGTTTACCACGGAAATTATTTTTCAAATGACTGTTGGGTTAAATGTTAATGCCATGGTCACTTATTTTAATCATGTTGAACCATCAAAGAAAAAACACATCAAACAAAATCTCGTAGTTGAAGATATTACACAATTCGTAGAGGTTGTTGAGGGTGGATTTGGTGATATAAAATTTGCTCTCATGTATCCCACTTTTCTTAGACATACCATCATGAAAAAAAAGAATCAAACCATGCTTAGTAATAGGCGTGAATACATCGAAACCATGGTGAAAATTATTGATTATCGAAGAAAAGAGATTGAAAATACACCGGTTGAAGAAAAATTGAGACATGATATGTTAACTTCTTTGATCACCGCAAATACCGAACGTGATATCAATGAATCCAAGTACATGGATGAAGATCGTTCTAAGCCTTTAAATAATGATGAAATCAGTCAAATTTTATTTGAAGCTATCGCTGGAGGAATTGACACAACAGCAAATTTATTATGTTTTGTCATATACCATTTATGTCATTATCCTAAGGTTTTGGCTCGTTTGCAAAAGGAACTTGATTCGATCTTTGGTTTGGATCAACGTATGCCTACGATGGAAGATCTCTCAAAGATGCATTACACAGAAGCTATATTTAAGGAATGTACACGTCTCATAAATACGGTAAAATACACTCAACGCATTTCCTCTTCATCAGATGTTGTGGCAGGCTATGAATGGCCCGCAAACACGACATTTGTTGCATATATGGAAGGAATTCATCTTAATCCCGTTCATTGGAAAGATCCTTATGAATTCAATCCTGATAGATTTATGGGAACTGAACCACAAAAGAATACATTTTTGATGTTTGGAGGTGGAGTAAGGTTATGTCCAGGAAGAAAATTAGCTATTGTCGAAATGAAATGTCTAATCGCTTTAATTTATAGAAATTTAGATATTTCATTGGTAGATGTGGATGCTCCTTTGAAATTAAAACTTACTATCGTAAATACATGTACTGAATTACAGATCAGAATTAGACAAAAAAATATATAACTTAGGAATTACATAATTTTAATTTTATTTGAAAAAAAAAAAATTTTTATTCGTATTTCGGATTTATAATTAGATATTATAGATGTAACCAACTTTGTATTTTTATATATATATATTTTTTTTTACATTTTTTGAATTATAAAATTATCGTTCGTATGAAAATATAAGCAGATAAAACAAAGTTATAAATATTTGTACAACTTTTATACATTCATTTTTCATAGGTTATGTTAAATCAGGATTAAACACAAATAAATTTTCATATTTGAATTATTAGCATTTTCTTTATATTTAAGCATGTGCAATTATTTTATTTTATTTTTCGAATATATTAGTGACTGAATATTACATTCTTTTTTTACTCCATGTATTAAAATAACCCGAAAATTATACTCGATTACATTTATATTGTTAATATTTGCTAATAATCATTCTTTTACAATTTCAGCAACCGATTAATGTTATCAAAATCGAATCTCTGCACATCAAATACTTAGGACTTGTTCAAATTCGTCAGAAAATCCGTCGAGTAGGTTGTTATTATCCGTAGGACGGTCGTTGATAAAATGACCAATGCCACCGTAAGTTACGCGTCTTGGCAACGTTCTCCTTTTTTGGAAACAGTTTATTGATGAAAAACAATTTCCCGCCGAGTTTCTTTCATTATTTTGATAATGACGGCTACTATTTGAAGTCGAATCACTACAGGTCAAACATTGATTCGGCTTTTCCCACTGAGTTGTAAAACGTCGATAAGGAATGGAAGCGGCAGGATCGTCGATAATTTTATCATCGGTTGTGACAACAGTTGATGTTTGCTCCTTTACGTTGTTGCTCTTCTCTTGATTATTCTTCGGAATGAGTGATCCATCTTCTTTAGATGATTTATTATTATTTCCATTATTATCATGCGAACGAATAATCTCAAAGTGAGTATGATCAAGTGACGAGTCAGCATTGGCAACAGGATCAATATAAACTGCCCGAGGAGTATTTGACTGGATAATAATATTTTCAAAAGTAGTAGTATTACGATGATGCAAAATTTTATCCCAAATGATATCACGTGCTTGAACAAGACGTTTTTTAGCTTCTTTAGGCAGTTTCATCGTCAAAATTACATCAAGAAGTCTTCCAGCAGTAAAGGCCTCATCGTTTTGATATTCAGGATCTTGCCACTCTTCACCAATTTTCGTCGTATGAGGTTTAGCTGTATAAGGATTAGGATCCATATCATAATGATGTTTGGAAAATTGCGTATGAAATTCAGATTTTAGATCAGAGATACATTTTACGATAGGATTAACAATTCTCGATACATCAATTTGACAAGAGCTTTTACCCTTGGCTTTCTTGCGCATCTCCAATGGGATCTTTTGTTCACTTGCTTGAGAATGTGTAGAAGAAAATGATTCAGGCGACGATTGAAATCTTGGAGAAGTCGGATAAATACAAGTGCCTTCCAAACAAGTCTTGCTCTTATTATTTATTTGTTCAGAGTTATTTCTTTCATCATCGTATAATTTTCTCCATTCTGTTTTTATCTCATAATTTCTACCAATCAAAGTAAATTTTTGGTCTTTTTCTTCGCACACATCATTTTCAAATTTATACATGTTTATTAATTTTTTTGTAAGAAAATAAGTTGAGAGAATAAAAAAGAAAAAAAAAAAAAGAAAGGAAAATAACTTCAATATATAAGCAACGTGTTGACGTGATATGATGAATAAGATGAGATGATTGTATTCATTTATGCAACGTGGGAAAGTATATTGTATATTATAAATCAATTTTCAAACAAAAATAATCAAAACACCGAATATAACTTGGCGTAAAAAAAAAAAAAAAAAAAAAAATTTTATGATATACGTAGATATACGTAGGTGGATGATTGTTCAAATTAAAATAATTTTTTTTTTTTAAAAAAAAAATAAAAAATAAAACGATTCACAGATCATAGAAGAATTTTTTTTTTTATTATTATTTTTGTCATTTAAAAATGTGAAGAAAAACTTCAACGATTTGTTTTAATTGCTAAAATTTCATAAATATGTCCAATTTGGCGATATCAGAAATAAATTTAAGAAATAAAACTTACACTTCCCGCTTTACCAATAACCCATTTTCCATCATCCCAAACTCTAGCAATATACAATTCATTGCATTTTCCCCAATATTTTTTAAGTATTGGTTAATATATTTTATTTCTTACATTATTAAATGAATGAATATATATATAATATATTACAAGGAGTATCAATTCAATTTAATATGATGTCTCATTAGGGATAAATCCAGGTTATGTACCGCCAATATTATCGTACCACGACCAATTGCTATTCCCTTGAAATATAATCCAACATGAATAAACATAGTCATATCGTATCCCATAAAGGTTCAAGTCCCGAAGTCAGGCCAAAACCTGACCCTCCGCTAACAATTTGAGTAAGATGTTCCTCGCCCTGTTCGCGTCCTGATCCATCTTCATCTCACCCGAATTGCACCGAATAGTCTTAGAACCACCCAGTTTGTCATTGATTTGTCTGCAATGCCCACATGTCTTAGCAATACTTATACTCTCTTATCTTGTGCAAAAGAAACATTGAAATCTATAATGTGACCAAGTTAGCATTGCGCGGGCTGTCCTTGATTGAATCTTTCTTTTATTTTTGAGCATTTTATGTGATGTTTCAGAATTTAGGAAGCAAAATTATCTCGTAATTCTGACATAACCATCGGGCCAGCTAGTGATGGCACTCATCTATCAAATTACGGATTCGTTGTATGATTCGTAGCATCTTTTTTCCCAATCGAAATCTTTTTCTCTTGTTTGTTCTTCCCAAAGCAAGATCATTGTCGCTCTTTTATTTGTCGTATTTCTTGGACAATTTGAATACTTTGTCAGTATCGCCGTTGCCTCACTCAATTAATTGATCATCGGGGTCGTAACCTGTCATAAACGTGCGAACACCTGGATCTAGCGAGATTACCTTTCCACGAACATCATCTTGATTATCGATAATGTCCAAAGGAACGGAAACACACAAGTAAAAATGTCCCAGGTGATTCATAGTTACCGTGTTATTGATCTCTGGTGGTCGTTCTGAAGGCAGTGTTGGCAAATGACCTCAAATGACCTCAAATGACATCATTTTTATTATAAATTTCAAGTCAAATGACCAAAGGTCATTTAAAAAACAGTAAATGACCTTATAATCTGCCATCACCAATCCCTGGTAATAATCGAGCTGGTTTGTGTTTTATCCTTCTTCGATCGGTACTTCATTCGAAAATTATTTCCATGCTACTTCTTGTTTGTTTTGTAAGTGCTCATCAATTGTCGGATAGCGTACGAACGTACCTCCCTAGGAGTCTCTTTTACCCATAAAATTTCTTCAGTAAAGCACCCATTGATCAGGTAGCGCCCTCGTATGACGCTCAAGTCAGTGATCCCGTCGCCCTGCACCATCTCAAGAACTTTATAGTACGTCCATCTCACGGTCCCATCCACTTTCTTAGTTTTTCTCTTTCTTCAGGTGTTGGATAAATCCGTATCTTTCGTGGTTTCAATCTCTCTCTTCGACATTTTCGATTCTTGGCTGATCTGAGCCAATTGTATCTTGCTGTGAAGATAGTAATGTTTGATAATAAGTTCTCGGCAAGCTCACCGGATTTGGTGTCATCAACGTTAATGTCCGAACCGAGTACCACGACCTTTGTATCTGCTTAACAAATATCCATTCGACAAGTTCAAAAGCGAAGCGGCAGAGCCGGTCCTTGTGGGTAACCACAACCTCCTCGATATCTCCTTGGTACGATCGTTTCAAAATGGGTAAAACCCTTGTTGACATTATTTTATTCAAACATGCGAAAACGGGACTTATTTATACTTGACAAGAATATTATATCATCGACAATGATGTTTGTTATAAAGTACTTACGATTGTTAAAAATAACAATCAGTAAACTAAATAGCAACATAGTATATCTAATTTATAATATCGTATTTGTTCTATTCCGTAAACTCGGAATGTATTTGAAGGAATTCTACCTACGTCAGCTGATACCCTATCGCATTAAGAATTTTTTTTTTTTTTTTAAAAAAAAAAAAAATTGACATTAAACTTTGATATTTTGAATACGGGTGATCTTTAATTATAATCGTAAAACAATACGTTTTGTATAGATGCAGTAAATATGTGAAATTCTCATTAATTACTTATCAATTTGGATAACTATTGAAACAATTTTTATTTTTTAGAAATATTAAAAATTTCACTTACCGCTTTATCAATAACCCAATTACCGATCCGGTCAACATGTAGTCTTATTATTTATTTAATAATAAATCAATACGTTTTTTATAGTCGTTAGCTATGGTAAGAAGTTTTCATCTTTCATTTATAAAACCAACTTTCGAAAAATCTTTTGAAAAATCTTTTGAAAATGAAAAATTTCAATTTTCTGATTTGATTATAATCAATCAACAAAAATTCATATGATTTATAATAAATCCAATAGAACAATAGAAATATGAAAGTTTGAAATAGAAGTTTGTATAACTTAAACAGACAACAAAGAAACTTGAAAACGGAAACATTTATTCGACGTTTACATTTGGTTGAATTAATTTTATGATGATTGTTAAAACACAAGCCCGATATGGTATCAGATGACATTTTGCATTGATGATTGACATCATGGATCATTTATTTTTACCGCACATTTTATTTTTAAAGATAATTAATAACAGAATCTGATGATTGACGTACTCTTTTTATGGAATTTACTTATGATTGAAGTTGCTAATACGATGAACGATCACCTATCATTATCAAAAGAAAGTGTAAATCTTCCTTTGTATGTAAGTGCATTTTTTATTTTTTGATCTACAAAACGTTTCCACCGAAAAATACTGACACGAAAAAAAAAAACGCCTACAACCCTAATACTTACCAGGTTGGTAATTATTTGAACAAATAGATTGCAATCAAATAAAATAATGAATTGAAGAGCCAAAAATATTATTCATGATGACGTTCTCACTTTCACTTTACCGGACTTATCTTCTCCTCTCCTCTTCTTCCTTTTACTGAAATGGTAAAAGAAACCAGAAATTTACAACAGTACAATATAAAATGTACTATGACAGGTAAATCATATGGAAAAGGATTTCCGCCTCGTATATCTCGTGTGATGCTCTTTTTGATACAGCTGGCGTTTAATTTTCTCCCTTCCGTTTCAGCGCAACTTCAGATGTCATTATCACCATCCTGACTGGATTGATACCAACCTTGATCTTTTTTTTCTTTGAGGATAATATAAATAGAAATTGAAATACTCTCTTGGGTATTCTCGATGATTTTATCATATTGATAATGCCGGCTATTCTTGCATATTAACAGCATTACCGGGAATTTACTTCGTGGCGTGCATGGCTTCATTCGGATATTCGTTATCTCGCCTGTTTATCTATCCTGAAGCGGATTTGGTATCAGGTCTATTCGCCATTTTAATCGTTACTTTTTTCACTCAAAAGTACAGGAATAAAGTTCCATGCCGGTCCTTTTTTACTTTTATAATGATCAACTCTATGAATTTCGATTGGGTTACCATATTTCATGTTTATCAAATCCAACCACATCCAAGCTCCTTTATATTTTGTGGAGCTATTTTATCACACGTTGGTGAAAATCAATTCAGACAAATATTAGTTATAAAAGCATAATGTACCATACTACTCATTTAACTGAACAAGGTTTTGAAGAAATCATTCGAGAGTTGATTGGCAATGGGCACAAGATTGACATACCTCAGATTGACATATCAATAGGCATGGAGAAAATGTCGAACTTTCCAAATTGTACCAAGTAATAACCAATACAGAAAAACAAGAGGTTATCAAGTACTATTATCGTTTCGGGGAAGCCGTATCGAAACGCATTTTCCACCATGAAAGTACTCGTCGATCACGTGCGGTGGCTCGGACTTTGGTTAATATAGAAGTGCGTCAACATCTTCCGAATGTTACTGAGTTTGAGATTAGAAAAACTACAGAATTAGCCCTAAAGATATACCGATTATTTAGCGTTGTTGAGGGATACAGCAAATTAGAATCATTGACCGCATCAGAAATTTCGCTATTTAGTTAGGACGTGATCTAAAAATGGGACGGCAATAAAAATCAATCATATTCCTGGTTCGTAGTACCAGTGGCAAGAGTAGATTGTGAATTGAGCTCACAATGAATGTCACACAGTCCTAATTTATATAATATATAATATATATAATATCCGAAAATATTTTTGTACGGTTGGGTATCAAAAGTCACCGGGCACTTAAAAATTACTCTTTAGTTCAAATTAAACTTTTTTTTTTTAAGTAAATAAGCAAAGTTATGCGTCATAATGATTTACATACACTTTAAAATTGTAATAGTTTTCTAATCAGTGAAAAAAAAATATATATTGTATATTTAATGCAACATTTTCGTGTTTTGATACAAATGTTCAACCATAATAAAACATTAAATATTTTAACAGTAATAAAATGTTCTCACTAAGAAAACTTGATAAGCGTATTAAAAAATATATCTCTTTAAATTTTAGATTAAATGTTTAAATAATCGTCGAGATCGTTATGGTTGTGCGATGTTAATTCAAGTTTTTTCCATAACCATCAATAAATTTTGATAATTATTACACAATATTCTCATTAAAAAGGAGTTTTGGAATAATTGGAGCTAAATAACCTTTTGTAAGTGTAGCTAATAAAATAAAAAGATTAACATGAAAATCCATAAAAAATGAATGGGAAAATGTTATCTAAAGTGACAAATCTAGGTTGAAAATATTTAAAGATGGGAAAATATATGTTTAGAGAAATTTTCAAAAATAATATGTTTCTAAATGAATTATTCTTATATTTAAATCAGATAAAAGTGTAATGAATTTGAGTTGTTTTACAAAGAAAACTAGGTCCATTAGTCAAATTAGAAGGCAGAATAATAGCAAATATATATATATATATAGATAAGTAAAAAACTATTTATAACTATATAAGAATAGTTTAAAAAATAAAAACAATTGTATTTTTTAAGAAATAATGCTCCTATTTCATAGCAAAAGCAGTATAAAATAGGAAAGTAGAAAATAAGATTATAAACTTATCATAGTTTTGCATAAAACTCAGAGTTAAATCCTATAAAAAATTTATAAGATAAATTAAATAGAAAAGAAAACTATTATCAAAAATCAAGATGATTTATGATATAAAAATCTTGTTAATAAAATATTATACTGTATTGCAGCTATTATTGAAAATAAAGGCAATTTTATAAAATATTAATAATAAAGTTATAAAATATATATTTTGATAATTAATATAAAAATTTTGTAAAAATTAATATGATAATTCATAAATTATCTTAATTTAAATTCAATATAATTTTTTAAAAAATGGTTGATATCATATATACTAATAATTTTTGATATTTCACTTATATATTAGGTAAACTGTTAAAATAACAAATTTCTAATTTGCAATTATTTATGACATAAATCATAATTTTGACACAAAATCTATATTAACAAAAATATTAATTTATATAATATTAAAATTTGTAATTCTTCTAGTTATAAAATCATTTCAAAATTATTGTAAATGATTAATCCTTTTATCTAATCTATACTATACATTATATTATGCTTAACATTAAATTAAAATTATATTTATTTATCTTATTAAATTAATTTATTTAATAGATTAGTCATAAGAATACTCATATTACAAATATAATAAAATATTACAATTGACAAAATATTAAAAATATATCTCTTAGAAGAAGTATAGAATATATTAAAATAATTATTATATATATTATTATCAGATTCAATTTCAGTTATTTTAATGTTTAAATCAAAAGGTTGTGATAATTTATTTTACACATTGAAAATACTAACTTTAGAATAAATTTAAATATAAGTTAGTATATATATTACAATAAATTTTAGATAGAAACACTATTGAAGAAAAAAAGTAATTTGTATAATTTTAATTTGATTTCTTTATTAATAACTTAAAATTACCAAAAGAGGTTTATAATTTATAAAAGAGTTAATTTACAACTTAAAATAAAGCTATTCTATTTATACAAATTCCTTTACTATAACTAACTACTTACTATATTATAAATTAACTAAATATAAATATATATTTTAATAATATATATATAAATGTAATAAAATAATAAAAATAAGTAAAATTAATTATAGATATTAAAAGAATTATAGGTAAAACAAAATAAATAAAATAAATAAGCTATATAAAAAATACAAGAAAAATAAAAAACAGACAAAACAGAAATTATTATTAATTAATGTTTAGTATAGTTAAAAGATTATCTAACATAGATTATTATTGATCAGAATCTCATATGATATTTAAAATTGCAATTTCTTCTGCTAATAATGTTAAAAGTTTAAAATTTCATTTATTAAATCCATAAAATCTCTTTATTTTTTAATTTTAAAAAAGTAAATTTAAAAAAAATAAAAAGATTAAATTGCATCATATTATTAAATATCAATAAATAAATAATACAGCTAATTTTTTATTGCTATAATTATTACATTTTACTATTATTTTATATTTTCATAACTAGCGAATCTATAATAATAATTTTTTTATAAATAAATAATATAAAATTTTTATTGCTTTTTTTTATTTAAAATCTTTTAAAATAAATAACAATAATAAAAAAAAAATATTTAATAAATACAAATATTATATATATTATAAACTAAAATATAATTATATTACATAAAATATAACTGATATTTCCTTCTATTTATTTTAATTAAATAATAATTATAAGATTACTTAAATAATTTATAATTATTATTATTTATAAATATTAAACTTTTTAATTTAAATACTTTATTCTTTTTTAAGAACTTTTGATTTTTTAATTTTTAATATAATTGGCTACTTAAAATTATATTATTAGTAAAATTTTTTACTTAATTTATTATATTATAAAAAAAAAAAAAAAAAATTTTTGAAAAAAATTTAAAAATTTACTATTTAGTTAAAAATAATTATTAATTATTTTAATTAATTAATAATATTTAAAATTTTATTATAAATTTATTAGAAAATTTGTTTTATTTAATATTAAATTAATAATCAATATTAAAAATATAATTATATTTCAGTTTTATTATTAATCATAAAATTAGAAAATTATATTTTTTTTTACTATTTAAACTTAAATTATAAAAAGATATGCAAATCATCAAATGAAAAAAAAATAAAAGAAGATAAAAAAAATAATAAAATACATTTAATTTATATATAATTAAAATTAATAATAATAATTAATTAAATATAAAATTTTATTAAAATTCTCATAAATTTATTCAGAAAAATTTTAAAAAAGTAAAATAGAATAATATGAGAAAAAAGAAAAACATTATTCTTTTTTGTTATTTTATTATTAACTAAAAATTCTATTTAAAAGTATATTAAAATTCTTATAATCTAATTAAAATAATAATTTTAATTCATTTTATTTTAATCTTTATAATAATAATAAAATAAAAATAGTAAAAAATTTGTATATATTAATAAACAAATCTCATTTGAATGTAAAGATTTTTTTTTAGATAAAAAAGTTTATTTTTAAGATCATAAAAATATTATCTTTTTTTTTTATTATTACAATAGCTTTATTAATAATATAATTAATACTATTTCTTATATTTATTAAATAAATTAAATATAATTTTATAAGTATAAAAATAATAAATTTTAATTCTTTTTTTAATTAGTATTAAATATTTATTATTTATTTTTATAAAATTATGTTATTATTATTATTTTTTTTATATATTTATTTTTATTTAAAAAAATTATTATAAATAAATTATTTTATAATATTATGTAAAATAATTAATTGATTTATTAAAATATAATATTATTTTGAATATTAAAATGAAACTTCAAATTAAATAATTTTTTAATATATTAATTTAATAAAAATTTTTATAAATGATAATATATTATAATAAGATAAAATATAAAAAAATTTTATTTTATATTTTTATTTTTTAATTTATATAAATTAGAAATGTAAATATAATCATTTAAATTAAAAATTTATTTTTTTATTTATTATTATTATTTAATTATCTTATATTTCCATTTTTTAATTATATTACTATATTAATAAAATACTCATTTTTATTTTAAATTATTTATATTTATTATCATTTTAGTATTATTATTAAATAAGAATTACTATTATTATATTTTATAATTAATTGAATTAAAATGATTAATAATTATATTTTTTATAAATATATCTTATAACATTCTAATAAATAACTATTAATAAATATAAATTTAAAATTATCTATATTATTTACTACTTTTATAAAAAAATTATTATTCTTTAAATGATAAGAATTTTATTTAAATTTAATTATAATCTTTTTTAATCAAGTATTATTTAATTTTTAGTTAGAATATATCAATATTATAAAATATATTTAAATATAATATTTGATAAATATATAATTTTAGTTACTTTGAAAATTTTTTATAATATGATAGAAATGTATTTATAATATATATAAAATAATTTATTAAAAATGATTAAAAGCTTTAGTTTTAAAAAAAAATACTAACGAATGTATTTTTTTTATAACTTTATTTATAAAAATTTTATTTTTATTTAAATTACCTTCAAATTTCAAGAGATAATATTTATAAAATAATAGTTAAAATTCAATAATTGATTTATATAAGTTTTTTATGAAAAGATAATTTAACTATTAAATCGAAATAGTCATGTGACCACAGATGGGCGTTCAATGTGATGTCATTGTGACAGCCTGATTACGTATATATAGTCTCGTTTCTCCCTAAACAATCATTTCTAGTTTTTCTGCATTTTCTGATCACGGACTAATTGTTTCACGTAATGAAATTGTCGACTTCCTCGTCTCAACAATCCCAAATATTTTAACAGAACGCGTTTCCATTCATTTGCAAAAATCAGTTTCATTGCAAGGTGTATTGAACCTTTTATTTACATTTCGAGAAGGCAATTTACAATTTTCTTGTCTTTACGAAGAATGAAATTAAAAGCTCCTATTTGACTTGGTAAGTTGAATTATGTGAACTACAATTTGATCTTGCATTTGTATAAGAGCATAAATTGATTTCTATTAAATGAGGGAGATTTGGCTATTAAGAGAATGAAAAAATTCAATTTTGACCAATTAGACAACTGATGACCATTCTCAACCATCATAAAAATGAAATCTCATTGATTCGAATTTTGGGAAATTACAGAGTTCATTCTTGATATCTCGAGGAAGTTTGGAGATTGAGAAGAAAATGTTGAAATCAGCATCATTGAATGAATATGAAATCTCTGGAAAGCGTTGTAAGTTTGAAGTTTGACGACATTTCTTTATTGATGAATTCATATAATAATCTACATTTTTTACCTGTAGAATTTGAATTCGAAGTATGAAGATATGAGAAAAAGTTCTCGCATAATTTACGAAATTATGCAAGCTGCATCTTATATTTTCAAGTTTACTTGGAATCCAAGAGGCATCAGAGGGAAAATGTTGAAATAAATGTGGGTCCTAAAAACTTTTTTTTTTAAAATCGACTATACATTAAGATAGTACGATTTTTTTAAAATTTTCGTCTTAAATTTATTCCAATATATTGAATCACATTTACGAATACAGATTTCATTCCCGTAGCGATTGACCAATAACTTTTTCGTTAGTCTACTTGTTACAAGTATGACATCAGATCAGGCATAATCATTATTATTTTTTTTTTTATGCGGGAAAGTCGGCGATAATAAGATAATTCACACGAGTTAACTCAATTGGATTAAAGATATATTTTTCAAGCGCATATTAAATGTTATAACATTATACAAGGAATTATTCTGGAAGATTGGAACAGTCTAAATTGTATATATAATTTGAGTTATTGTTATAACTGATATCTTAATGTAATATAAATTTTCATATTATTATTAATTTTTATAGTAAATATATTGACTGTTCTCAGAGATCAAATTGTGAGATCTTTGTTAATTACTTACTAGGGAAACTGGGACCCGTTGTTAAGTCCGGAACTTTATCTAAACTTTTGTGCAATTGCAAGAGTCAATCAGCATTGACTCAATTATTGAGCGGGCGGACAACAGGACACCTCGTGTAACCTTAGACCTGTACATATATAGTCCTTCACTTCGTTCCGGAATAATAAGCTGATTGGCTCACTTCAAATTATTCGAAGAGGACCTTGAGGGAAAAAATACAACTTTGTATACTATATTTACATGTAAGGAATCGTGTATCGTGATTTGGTAATTATATATTAGTTATAATTAATTACTAATTTTATTATATATATTCATAACATTTCAGGCAATCCAATAATATATTAGTTCATCAAAGTTTATTAAATTGGCTGATATTTGTTATCAAAACGATATACCGTTCAAGTTGATTAAAAATGGGGGATGTTTTAATGGTGACGCGCGCTTTTACACCTTTTACGCCTTTTGAAAGTGGTATCGAGGTCAGAGAACAATTATTCCTTGCACACCTGATGATTGGTTAATATATTTTCTTTAAATTAAATTTATAATTATAGGAATGTATTTAGATTGATAAAATTTAATTTTAATCTACTTTTAGAATTGGGATAATGAGTCAAATAATCGTCCAGCTATGGGTCAATTCGTTGATGATTAAAATCAAACATCATGATCGATTGGATAATAATAATCAAATTCTCAATGATAAAATGAGCAACTACCTAGCGTAAAGCTGATGTTCATTGTGAGAATTTATCACAGATTATCCAACGTTAGTAATACGAGCTGATGGGAGAACCAAGTCAGGATCATCGATTTAAAGAAACTTTTTTGTTCAATTAAATTGTTTGCATTCTTTCCTATTCAAAAGGAATTGGAGCCAAGCGACTTTGAAAATTTATTAAGCGGGAACAGACATTAAAATACGTATTCAGGTTACATAACTTTTTTATTACTGTTTACATGTAATGCTTGAATAATCTACTTGGAATAACACAAACTACTTAGATTAATACGTTAAAACTCATAGAATTGGATAAAAGTGTACACCTCAAAATGCAGTTTTGGCAAATTGCAATGTCATTTGCTTATTTTTTAAATGACATTTGTCATTTCTATAGTAAAATCAATATCATTTGATGTCATTTATTGTTATTTTAATGTCATCATTTCAATATCATTTGACAACTCTGTCAAAATGTGAGTCCGACGCAGAAAAGGTGGTATGGAAAATATTAGATGTTGGGAATATTGTGTCGAAGAACCCTTTAATATGACAAGTAAACTAGAAAAAAAGATAACTTCAGCATAGATCGGTTAAGTAGGTTACTGGGATCTGTGTTTGTCTAATCAAATATGGGTCAGCGGAGCAGGTGGACATAGTATTGTAAATTTGAAAATATTTACTTTCAAGTCCATTATTAGTCCGAAGCGAAGCGAAAGGACTTTCTTATACTAGCCACATGTTACACGAGGTTTCCCGCTCAAAATTTGAGTCGATACGTGGTTGGTCCTTTTAGTTACACTTGTGCTCCGGACTTAACAATGGTTTCTGAAACCGTTCCCTAGTTTACATCATTCAAATACTTCTAGTGATTCAAATCACTTACGATAAAACTTATTAACCAAAGATCAATAATAGCAAGACTGTCGAATTTAATAATAATGAGATCCAATTGTTCAATGTTACAACAAAAGTTTATTCTATTGAAAACAATGATGATATCTTATCACCATTAAAATAAGCAGAAACAATCTATTGATAACTAGCTGAATATCCAAATTCGATTGCCATTATTTAGTTTATAATGATTATTTTGGAAAATTTAATATATGAAGATTTAAAATTGGGATTATTATGAATCTTCGTCATATGGAAATTATTCATGTGCGGAAAATATTGACCTTTGATTCCTGTCCTGTTCATTAATGCTCGATCTCGTTGCGAGGTTTCCTCGCTCTATGTTACTTCTCCCCGGAAAACACGGATATACTAAAAGTAAGTTTTCGCCAGCTCCATCTGGGAACTGCCGTTATGCTGTTTCAACAATTATAGAGAACTCAAATGTTTACAATTAATATTTTTTAGGTAATGATTTTCCATAAAATATCTTTCTCTCTAACATAAATCACAAGCTCAGATGACCGTTCGTTAATAAACTTTATGATGCCGTGAAGAACAGATTTATGGCCGTAAGAACATGTAATACTTATTAATAAATTATTTCCTTCATATTAAGTGAGTATTTAGAAAGACCCCTCTTTTGACGTAGTAACCGTACAATGTTGATTATTTGAAAATCGTTATTTTTATCGACTCAACACCGCATATCGTCTGAATAAAGTTGTCCCTTCGAAATTTTGTTTTGAGGAACTTTGTGACGGTTCACCACGGAATTGTAATTGAAAGATTGGGTGGGAATAAAATTTACTTTCATAATAAGACGCAAAATTTTATTTTATCACTCAAAATTTATTTTATAACATTATCCAAAAAATTAATGCTGAAAGGGAAAGATGGAATATCGTCCTGCTCTGTAGTTGGAAAGAAAATTTTTAGGTCGTTTGACATGCCTTTTTTTTTTAATAAAAAAAAATCTGTTTTTTTTAATATTTAAAAATAAATATAAATCACCTTTATCGGTTTACAAAATGTAAATTTGTAGATACTAGCTAAATTCACGTGTTCTCATTTAATTAATATGAAAGTGATAAAATCGAATTTTATTGATCAACAATAAATAGCAAAAAAAGACAAGGAAGTTTTTATTTATTTTATTTATTGCCGGACAACTTAACTCTATAATATATGCATTAAATGCGTTTTATCAATTTTTACTATTTTTCACACTTATAATTTCTTTATAATCACATATTTCTCAAGTAGTTTTTATCTTTAAAATTGTAAAAGGTTAGGTTTATATGATACGAAAAATAAAATATAAACAAGACGAGAAATAAAACTACAATTTGAAAATCAATGATTTCTTCAGCATATATGATCATCAACCGACCGCATATTATGCATGATAATCTAATCAACTAACCAAATTAAGTAAGTACACTGACGATTCCGTTTAACAAGGGCTGAATATAAAGTCGTTCAAAATTAAAGAAACATTCATTCTCTTTAAACTCTCTCTATAAACTCCTTCTTTAACAAAAATTATAGGAATTTATCAAAAAACTTGAGACTAATTTTTTTGGAAATTAAATGGCAGGCTTGAAAACTGAAACAGCTCTTGATTGTTCTGATATTCAAATAACAATCCTACCAGCTTTACCTAACTCCATAACAACACTCCGCTGCCATCATACTAAAATAACCAACTTGCCAACCTTACCTAACTCCTTAACAGCACTTCACTGTGATAATACTGAAATAACTAGCTTACCGTCCTTACCTATTTCTTTAATAACTCTTGATTGTTATAATACTCAAATAACTAGTCTACCAACCTTACCTAATTCTTTAACAACTCTTAATTGTTCTTATACTCAAATAACTCGTCTACCAACTTTACCTAATTCCGTAGCGACACTCCATTGCCATCATACTAAAATAACCAGCTTGCCAACGTTACCTAACTCCTTAACAGCACTTCACTGCGATAATACTGAAATAACAGTCATACCGTCCTTACCTATTTCTTTAATAATTCTTGATTGTTCTAATACTCAAATAACTAGTCTACCAACCTTACCCAACTCATTAACACATCTCCGTTGCTATAATACTAAAATAACTAGTTTATCAAACATACCAAACTCTTTGAAAGAACTCCAATGCCAAAATACTGAAATTGATGGCATATCAACCTTACCTAATTCTTTAATAACTTTTAATTGTTCTTATACTCAAATAACTCGTCTACCAACTTTACCTAATTCCGTAGCGACGCTCCACTGCCATCATACTAAAATATTCAGCTTGCCAACCTTACCTAACTCCTTAACAGCACTTCACTGCGATAATACTGAAATAACAGTCATACCGTCCTTACCTATTTCTTTAATAACTCTTGATTGTTCTAATACTCAAATAACTGGTCTACCAACCTTACCCAACTCATTAACAAATCTCCGTTGCTTTTATACTAATGTAACTAGATTACCAAACATACCCAACTCTTTAAAAGAACTCCAATGCCAAAATACTGAAATTGCTGGCATACCAACATTACATAATTCTTTAATAACTTTAGATTGTTCTTATACCCAAATAACTAGTCTATTAAATTTACAAACTCCTTAATAGGTTTTCATTTGTATTAAAATTTAAAAATTTAAATTTCTTTTTTTTCGATTTATAATAATGTTCAAATAAGTGGACTGTTTCAAAAATTTTGTATGTCAGTAATTTTTATGAATTCTCATATTTATATAATCATATTTATTTAAATAAAATTTGATATTAATATATTCTGAATAAATGAAATAATAGGCACAAATGATTTATTAACACGTTAAAAAAGTGAAACATTTATTCTACTTTAAAATTCTGTTATGTAAATGTTTTGATTCACAAAAAACATTGCTGAACATTTTTTACGAAAACTATTGAGTTCTATACTAATCAATTTTCGATACAAGGGTCAAAGATCGTTATTACATTATTATTTTATTACGAGAATTTCATATTAAATTAGAACTAAACAACATATAAAAAATCAATTCATAAATATTAGATAAATAGTGAATGTTTTCACGTTCTGAAATGAATTGTAATATTGTTGAATTTCTTTTGTTTAATCAGCCTGAATTAAACACACAATCTCTTATAATTGATTTTACATATTCAGCAGAACTTAGTAATATACCAGTATCTTGTAAGGGCCTTCCTAACCTCCTTAAAAATTTCATTCAAGAAGCTAAAGTTGGAAAGTCTCACGATAAAATTATTATATTCGGCTTTATACTTAAATGACATGTTTTAAAACTATATCGGCTCTTATGTGAAATTATCTTCGGATCGGATTCAACATGACCAAAAGAAAACTAGAGTATTTGTTCCGAATATAACCCAATTACGATTCGAATTTTAATTCAGCATTAATCAAAAGAAAGCCATATTCATCAATCCTTTTACGTCGACATACCTTTATTATAATAGTTTCACAAATTTCGGAGGAATTTCAATATCATTTAATTGTATTGTCATTCTGATTAACTTTTTTCTAATTCCAACATTTTTCTAAATTTTGAAAAAATACTTCGATTTCGATTTTTTGATTTTCATAATCAGACCTTCATGTTGAAACTTTTCTTCCTCTTTCTTGAAGTTGTTTATAATTCGGAATTAATAGTGACATCACTTTCTTCATGTACACTCCCCGGTCAAAAGTATTGGACCAAAAAAAAAGTTATCGCAACTTTTAAATTTATGACTAATTTTAATT